TATATATATATATATATATATATATATATATATATATATATATATATATATATATATATATATATATATATATATATATATATATATATATATATATATACATGTATATGTAAAGATAATACAAAATCTAATCACAGACCCATTAAGGTTGTATGACCTTTGACATCGCGCTTTCGCTACCGACGATCACATATATATATACAGATAGATAGATGAATAAGGTGGCCGGTTACGGTCAGTCGATGCACAATTACCGCTTTGTCTAATCCAATCGCTGACCAAATGTATTACTACCAACTATTTTGATATTCTTGAAATAGAGGCATGGATGATCTTTTCAGAAGGAAAATTTCGTTATTGTGCATGGCAGGAATATGGAGAAATGTAAAGCAACCATTGACTACATTATGCGTGAAGGCAAATTACCGGATAAATCGAATCTTGATTTTGTTGTTGCCGACTTTTCAGATTTGAAAGAGGTAAACATAGCATATATTAATCTTGTTTTTATTTAAACTGGTTTAACTCGTGTCTGCTTTGAAGATTCCATGCTTTAATTTTTCCACTTTTCCTTTTGGAATAAACATTTTATTAACAGTTCCATGCTAATACCCTTTCGTCTCACTTTTGCTACTTATTTCAGGTCTCTGATTTGGCTACGGACGTTGAAAAGCGCTTTCCGCGGTTGAATGTTCTACTGTGTAACGCCGGTGTTCTTTTACCTAAAAGAACAGAAAGTCGAAATGGGTTGGAATTAACTTTTCAAGTAAGCGTTTCACTAATGTGATTTAAAATGTTTTGAAATTTTTTAAGAAACATGCAGTTTTTGTGCAAGCTTTCAGAATGTGTCTCTTTGTTTATTAGACTGATTATGTTATGATAATGCATTTATTGCTGAATACACAAATTAATTTGTGATTCGTATTAAACTAAGACTATTAAACTAAGGAAGGTTCTATGTATAATAAAAACACCAGACATATGAGAAAGGAACACGTAGTAAATTAGAGTTTAATCTTCAAAAATTGAAGTCAAACGTTATTTTATAGTTTGTTTATAGCTAATTCTCACAACACAATATATGTTTCATAGTCCGCAAAAGTTTCATCTTTACCACTGAGAAGTTTCTTTTTAAATCTTAATATCTGAAGTTTTTTGATGAAGCATGTTAGTAGTAAATTCGGTGATTCAGATTAAGAGTTTTTCTCAGATAATGGCTGATATAAATCTTTGGTTTTCTGTTACACTACATTACTGTTACATATATTCTCCATCTTTACTTTTTTTGTTTCGACAGTTTTACCATTATTTATTATCTTGTTGATTGTATTTTAATTTTGAATTTCCAGTACTTTGTGAATCACTTTTTTAATTCTTTTGAAGAATTAGCATAATGGGCTTATAATTTCATATTGTGTACTGTTTATCATCTGTTGTTATGAATGATTAAACACAGGTTTCCATAAGTGGTGATATGTTTGGTGTATTAATTCTTCCACTTTTCATCTCTGAATTATGAATTGTTCTACCCACTCACTATGCCATTGTCCTTTGCTGTCTGTTTAATCTGTTCTTGTCTTTCCAACTGAAGCCTTTCAGATTAATCATTTGGCACATTTCCTTATCATAAATCGTTTACTTGCACTATTAAAAGAAAACCAACCTTCAAGGGTTATCATCGTCAGTAGCAGTCTTCATAGTTGGTGAGATTTTTTTTGAATTTTAGTTTAATCCTTTATTTCTACTCTAGTAAAAGATGATTTGGTATAACGGGTGTAAAATTCTCCTTTTTTTATCGCTTCTGGTTATTCTTTCATCGCTCAGTGGTTTGTCAAAGGCACTGTTAACCATGAATGGTGATTAATGACAGGTGAGGAACTAGAAAGAATGGCATTACTGAAAGGAATTTCCTGCAGAAAAGTAGGACTTGGAATAGTGAGAAGTGGAAAAGAAATCAAAAGAAAAAAGAATCACAATTTCTTTCAACCTACTGCAATGAAAAGCTGATTTCATGAAAATTTTCCTTCAGGCATAAAATTGATTGGAAGGATGTGATGGCTGAGCGGGAATATGAAAAATACCTTCAATTTTCGAGGACAAAATTAATGAACCATTTAACGTCATTTGCACTTCATCGTCTTTTGGTCAGGCAAGGATGTCAATTTCGGGTTACCTCTAATGTTATCGATTTGGGAAATATGGAGCCACGAGGTCGGAGGTGAGATATTGCTGAATTTCGAATTTTAGATTCGCAGGTACTTGGGTATCCTATGTTAAATAGATAGTGCTTATAATATTCTAGGAAGTATGAGTGATGATTCATGGATAAGTAAGTAAGTAAAGGTCTCATTTGTTGATAAATATCGTTTTTGGTCACTTTCGATCGATTTGTTTCATCTAGTTCAAACTTTTCTACTTATAAAGCTTAAAAAAAGGTTGGTAAGGATGTGCAGCTAAATTGACTTGCTAGTTTCCTATAAATAATAACTTCCCCAAAAAATTACAACACATCCTTCTTTTCCCTTACGCTTCTCAAACATGTTGGGTCAATGCTTATTTTTGGTGATATTATTAAGTGCAAAAAAGCAGCACCTTCAATAATTTTCAGATCAAGGAGTACATCGCTATCATCTTCCGATACAGCGTTGGTGCTAAGTAGTGGTGTTGGCACACTGTTAACACTGGTTGAATCTCCTGCACTAGAAAATGTTAGTGGTAAATATTTTGACTGCCATGGCAAGCAGACACGCAGTGGTTCGGATGCTACCGATGAGCGATTGCAGCAAAAACTATGGGAAATGAGTGAACAGTTGTGTAAAGATTATCTAAATTCTGGTTCACCTCTTTCTGCAAATTGTACGATCAATGATGTCCACTTCAGTAATCATTGAGAGAATGATGAATGTATTGAAAGGACACGATCGACTGATAATGTGATGTTTTTCTATTTAAGAGCTTTAAACTTCACCTCATGTATTAGTTTCTTCTTTTCACTTTTACACAACATTATTTTTGCGGGTTTTTATGAGTGGAAGTTGTTTTTAGTTTTTGACCGTGCAATAGTGCGACAAAACTTTTTAGTCGTAGGAATTTATGGAAGTTTGTCTTCTATTTTTTCTTTCAGATATGCTGTGAAATCACTTATTCGAACTGTGAATTTTCCGCCATGTCAGTCGTTTTTCCGAATTTTTTAAACAGCGCAATAGGTTTAAAGAAACTAATTTAAATGTTTGAAGTTTTAAAGAAATTATTGTTTTGTCGTGCTTTTACAAGATGCCTTTCATTTGATCTGCTTGATCTCATAATTCTCCTGTCTTTCACTCATGTATATTTGTTGCTAATGAAGGATTGGTGGCGATTAACAACTACCAGATTATGTTTTTCCTTTTTTTTCTTTTTTTTTAATTTCTGGTTTTCACTGGAAATGTCTTCCAAGGAAAAAAAATCAAATTCTAGGAAAATGAAGATTGATAATTCTGAAATGCTTTGCGTCAAAAATGAACATATTTGTGTTACTATCCCTTCTAAGCTTCCATAACTACGGTGGTTGTTTATGAAACTCATTTTACAACTTTCTGATCGTGAAAACGCTGAGAACACTTTTTATTAACAGGAGGTCATTTTTATTACAAATGAACATTATGACATCTTTGTCATGTATTTTGGATGCAGTATAGGGAAGTTCTCCACTTCTTTTGCTCATTTTAAAATGATTGAAAGTGATAGCAGTTCAGAAAGTGATAACAGTGTATTTTTAAACATTGATGTTCGGTGCCAATTTACTCTTGGATATTTCATGCTTGTTGTTCTTTACATTGATATGTTCTTTGACATGCATGATAATGACTCGCTATTTACCAAAGAAATCTGACAGTATTGGAAAATAAGATCCAATTGTTTTGTTTCGATTTTGATAAAAAATTATTTAATTTTGATTTCCAGTTTTGTGCCATGCCATTGGTTCTTTAGCACTGTTAAAGTCGAATTAGTTTAGTCTCAATTAAAGTGAGAGACATATCAAGTAAATAAAGAGAAAATAAAATTACTTTGCTTCATCACAGGTGAATTACCTTGCGCACTATATTCTATCAAGGTCACTGTTCACTCTGTTGAAGAACAATGTCCCATCTCGATTGGTTCTTGTAAGCAGCATTTGCTACGATTGGTTTGTTTTATTTTTTGTTTTCTGGTTTTCTTTTTGGTTTTTCCGTATTTGAGTAAAACGGTATGTAGAGAAGCCATAAATAAAGCTTCTGGACAGAAGTTCTTTGGTGGGATTGTGGATTGATGCTAGCATTTTCTTGAAACTTTGAGGCAAAGGAATGCAGACTACTGTGTGGACGGATCCTTGTATTCTAAAACATCATAGGAAATGATAGAGCCGAAGTTATCATATGATAAGATAATAATATATATGTGGTATATGTGATTATAGTTTTCGGTGCTTATGATTCATTTTGGATTCGAAGAATTATAAGCGAAAGCTGTAATTTCACTTTCTCTACAATAATACGCATATTTTCAGGTATTCTCTAGATTGGTCTGATTTAGAAAGTTCGAAAACTTATGAGAAGTACACACAGTACTCACGTACAAAGCTTATGATTCACTTGATGGCGTTCAAGTTGGCTCGTTTGTTCAATAGATCTGGTGTTACTTGTAATGTTTTGGAACCAGGCGTCATCGAGACAAAGCTTCTGCGGTTAGTTCGAAAAGGACATCATAGGACATGGGACTTCTAATATTGTCAAATTTTCACACTGCAAAATTACTTCCATCAAGCTTGGGAGATTTAATTACTACTACTACTACTACTAGTACTAGTAGTAGTAGTAGTAGTAGTAGACAATAACCATTTTTCAAAGGATTCTGTTGACGCTCAATACCGGAAATACTGCTCATTTCAAAGCCTCTGAAAAATTTCGCTTTCTTTTATATTTTCAGCACCATTATTCACATTTATTTGAATTATTTTCAATCGTGAATTAAAATTCAATGTTATCATTTTCATACATAAGCTTGAATAGAAATCCCAACAAATTTCAGAGCTGGTGGTTATAGCGGAGCTTCTGTTTGTGAAGGTTCTCGAACTTGCGTTTTTCTTTGTACGTCTGATAGTGTTACCAACGTGAACGGTGCTTATTACGACAACAAATGTAAACATGTAACCAAATTATTCAAAGACGCAGTGGATGAAAAGCAACAGGAGGATCTGTGGCAACTAACCGATAAGTTATGCGAAAAGAAAGGCGTCATACTTCCAAAAATTTAGTTTTTCTGAAAATAATCTTAAAGAATTTACATTGGGAAGACTGGCTGTTTTTGGGAATTATTATCTGATTTTATGGTTAGGATTTATGTCCCTACTCTCTAGAATGACTGACTTTGTGAATTGCTTGACTTGCTATAAAATGATTTTTATGGATGTATCTACTGAAACTCCAAACTTCCTTCGTTATGTTGTAGCTTGTCATCCCAGATTTATCATTTGTTCAACTTTTGGTCCGAAATTTATATGTCGTGACGACCCGTTAGTCGCTTGTTGTGTAAGCTCTGAGGGATAAATTTGGAAGCACTTTGTGATTCATCTCCTGTTTCTTGTGGTGAAGAGAAATAAATTTGGCTTTTTTTCAAACAGCTCTTCAATTTTAAATGGTTTTGTTTTTCTGCCGACGTCGTTTCATTTGCAGTTGTTAGTAGATGATCAAATTTAGATAAATTTTTTTGTACATCTTCCAAGTCAATTTTTTTAGCAAAAAAATCCAAAAAATGCTGCCGTGAAACATGACACCATTTTAATAGAGAATTATTATTTGTATTATGCAGACTACTGAAACAACATTACGAATGGCTGAAAGTGAGGAATTCCCAACGGAAGTTGAAATTTTCGAAGATGTCCACGATTCTCAGTTTATTCGACCCATGAGGATGAAATTTAAAAGGGTGGGTATGTCCAACTGCTTACTTTGTTAATGCGTATTTTGATCTAAAGGCCACTAGATGAGTGTTAGTTTCGTTATCTGGTGCTGGATTAACTTCTAGCTTATCAATTTTTCATATTTTTATCATGGAATTTATATGTAACCCTCAATGGACGGTTTTAGGGTGACAAGCTTATCAAATGGGATCTTATTCTACGTCATGATAGTGTTGCCTGCTTACTATACCATAAACAGAAGCAGTTGTTATTGTTTGTAAAACAGTTCCGGCCGGGTAAGTATCTGTTTCAATTGGTACATTTTTGGAAAAAGTTTGGTAAAAATAATTTATATAGTTCAAAACCTTTCATTGCTTTGTTGACTGGTATGCTCGACCATATGGATCTTTGGAGCAATGTAATTTTAACTGGTAATAATCTAACACAAACTTCTTCAATCCCGAAAGTTTAGAAATTAAGGCGCGAAAATATAACCTTAAAAATTAGAATGGTTTGGAGAAAAACGAGATTTCTTATTCGAAAAATGATTCTAGTATATCGCCGTTCGCGGAAATTAAACTTGAAGAGTTATGCGCAATAATGTTTCATGACAAATTGTCTTTATTCCTAAATGTCTCTATACTGTCCACTGGGTTCATTCAATCTTTTTCCGCTTTCAGCTGTTTATATATCAAGAGTACGTAAGCTGGATGAAAACGTTAATAAAAAATGGAGTGAAATAAATTGGTCGAAATATCCGATAAGTATGGGTGAAACGATCGAGCTTTGTGCTGGCCTTATTGATAAACCAAAAGTTAGCTGGAGAAAGCATATGCAAGAAGAAATTCATGAAGAATGTGGCTATAGTGTCAACGAAACTGATATTCAGAGCATAAAAACATTCGTGTACGTATTCCGAATTCTCTTCTGGAAATGGTATAGAGAATTATAATGGCGTAATAGCCAACTACTTTTGAAAATCTATGGATATGTTTCTTTAGAACAGGTGTCGGTTCATCGGGTGCCCGGCAAGAATTATTTTACGCTGAGATCGACGAAACCATGAAAGTTAGCGAAGGAGGCGGCATAGATTCTGAAAAAATCGAGAAGGTTTTTTCTGCTTTCACAATTCTTTCCTTAAATAATCAAGGTTTCGAGCGGATTTCAAATTGAAATTAAAATAGATGTCGGACGGTCATACCAGTTCTCCGATATTGTTGATAAGTCTGATGTTAATTAACGAAGACATAGCCAAGAAATTGCTGAAGAATATGACTATAATTCCTCGAAACTGACAATCAAATTGGTTTGAAAAATTTGTGTGGGTACTCCAGATACAATGATATATTCTATCAGTGTCTGTTCTAGTAAGGCGAGAGCAGTTTTGTTGTTTCAGACTTTTTTGTGGTTTTTGAAACCAGCAAAGCAGCTAGTACTATTTTGAACCCATTCATGATGCTTATGTCTCTTTTCAGATTTTCATGACGATACCTGAAGCGCAAAAGTATTGTGACCAAAAGGAAGTAACAAGTTCTCCCGGAATGCTTTATGGTTTGATGTGGTTTTTCAAAAATCGGATGTAAATGAGTAGCAAAGATTGAGAAAACTTGTGCGGCTTATCTTGAAGCCAAATCTTGAAGATCTTTTCTGATATTAGTTCATTCCTAGGTGAATCCTTCGACAAATCTCCATTTCGGGAGTATATGTAGTCTAATTGCTTAAAAACAAACGTTAAAAATCTATAACACGCATGAAGTACCTTAATCCAGTCCAACAAAAATCAAAGAAAACAGTCGAAGGATTATGATAACCCAGATTAACTTGAGCCGTTGTGTACGAATAGATACATAAAGAAAGCATATGCAAGGAAGAATCAATATGAAGTAGGTAACCTAGAGAATATATGAACTTATATTTCGAGAATTAAGCTGGAAAACGGTTAGTATAATCAAACGGATAAGAAATTAGTCATTTTATTATTTGAAAGATTGAGGCTGGAATGACTTTATATGATCCACGTTTGAAATATGATAGAACTTATAGCATGTGTGACCAGCATTTTATTAAATTCTTTGTTATCACTGTCAAATGGCCGAGGCAGTTTTGACTGTAGAAAAAAAGTGAAAAGCAATATAAAACTAACCATGATGACAGGATAACAGGTATTCGGATAATTACAAATTAAAAAAAACCAAAGGCACACAAAGAGGAGTAAATTTTAAAAAAAATGGAGATACAGCATCAAATACAAAAAAAGAAACAAATATATATCGACGATGTATTCAGTTATGTGAGAACTAACCAAGAGATTTCTGTAGTATGCTTTCTAAAATTTAATCTGAATCGCTAGCACTTCTGCTGTTAATAGAGTTCGGTCATCAATATCTCTCATAGCGGGACTGCATAGAACTATGTGCAACAATAAGTTAGCCTGGAGCTTATGTCGATATATAGCTGTTTTGCTAATTTTAATTCCAGATTAAGATAACACTTTTGATGTTCTGTTAAATTGTTGGCAGTAATGTCAAACTGCATAAAAATCTCATAAGAAAAAACACTACTGATTTAAGCCCATCCACCAGTTAATTTATGGAAAAGCTCTTCGTTTAATGTTTGATTTTGTTCCTTGTTTCGCAGCGATAGGAAAATATAGCCACCAATGAATTCATGTGCAACCTAAAAGAGATAATAGAAATTCTAAACCTCGGAATTCATAAAAGTGTTTAGCTTTTGAAAAGTGAGTCATGTCATTAGAGATACCTTTTTTTTTGCAAACTGCATTGGTTTAACAAAGAAACAATTAACCTTGCAATCAGCAGACAGAGGTTTGAATTCAATATCCTCATCCTCGAATTGTATCTAAAAATTTTTTTAAATTCTTTTCAACCCTCAGACCTGTAAAAATTTGCATGAGAATAAAGTTCTGAAGTTCCAGTTCCAGTTGTATACCTCTTTACAAATCAAATACCTTATTTTTACTCCTGTTTTTTAATTCATATTCCACTCAGGAATTATCTAGTTTTGAAAAAACACATTTTTAATTCCACATCCCAATGGTTTATAACTAACGATGAACTTTATTTAAATAAGTATAAAAATTTACTCAAAACTGTGATATATCTGCAACGTGTACCTTGAAAAAATAAAATAAAAGAAATTATGAAAAGCCAAAGTCACTTTTAGATGTCGAATTTCCCAGTTCACGTGCCATTTTTTCATCGTCGAAAACCTCCATGTTTTCAGACTTTCTCCCGTATCCATATTCATTCGCATTATTCTGTTGAAAGCGATGCCCATCAATTCCGACTTCCGACTATTCCTAAAAAAAAAGAAAGAAATTGTATCGTATGAGAGATAATCTTATGCATAGAAGTTATGAGTATACTAATTGGGGAATAATTTGCAAAAAGAAACAGAAAACTTAATCTTCAGAGTTCGAGAATTTTACGGTGAAAATTCAGGAACCTGAACCGAACGACGAAGTAATGGATGCCGTGTTCTGGTAGTGCTTCCCATGCTCGTATGTATTGTAACTTCGCTTCCGTGCTCGACAGATTTCGAACACTTGAATGTGCTTCAGTGATTCGTTGTTGGAGCTACAATAACAATTAATTTGTAAACTGACTTAGCAAAAGATGAAAAATAACCAATAGCTAACTTCTGCTTATATAGAGAACAGGAATATTGGAAGCGCAATTCAGTTGGAAGCCGTTTGCAGAGGTGAAGAGAATATGTTATGAAAGTAAGAAAAGCATACAGATAGCAGCTTTTATAATTTTAAACATTATAAAAGTTTCGGAAGTTATTTAGGGGTTCAATATTTTCTAAAATCTTAGCGCATAACAGTTAAGCGGGAAATAAATAATATGATGTTCGAATAAAGTTTCACGCATTTATTTTTCATTCTTCCACTGTGCAAATTTACAGTTATGCATAATACAACTTCGAATCATGTATAATACAGACTTTGAAAAATAACTTACTGCTTGTCTTGAACGCGCCCTGCGAGCATACCTCTGCGAAACAAATTCATCAACATTGAAATCAGGAGGCAATTCCACAGCATGGTGCTTCTTCAGCGTGTTATTCTGCGCCCCTGCCACTGGAAAAAAAAAAAGAAGAAAAAAACAAACAAGCAAATTCACCACTTAAATTTATTATAACGAAATCGTTTTTTTTTTCGCTTTCCTCGTCGTTATTCAAGTACTGTAAATTACTTTAATCAGCACTACCAACAACATTTAAAAAAAATAAATGTTAATTTTATCATTCATTCCAAAGAAATTAGAAAGCTAGAAAAATAACAAAGAACTTTGCTTGGAATCGATATGTCAGATGGAATAAATGATGCAAGAAAATTTTTTAAAACCTCCTGACTGCATTTGCAGAAGTTTTTTGATGGAATCAACTTCTGACTGATAACTCGCATCAGCCATTGTTTTTCCACGCGAAGCAAGGCGACATGCAGCCATCCAACGTGCATACTGATGTTCCTATAAAGAAATTCGGGCGGAACTTTTTCATGTAAATATTTTGATGAATATCCATAAAACTAAGTGGGAAGGCCAGATCTTTTGGCTTCAATACGTTTTTAGCTTCATATTATTACCAGTATGCTGAAATGTACAGATAAGTATGCATGGAATAAGGCATTTTTTAACATAAAAAAAAATTGTCGCTTCCTCTGTTAAACTTTTTGTCCCATTAACTTTTTTCAGTATATACTCACCGTGTCGCATTTTAAAATCATTTCGCTCATACCTTCACTACTTGGTATAAGCAATTTGATATGGAATTTTGATTGTGCCAAGAAAACATCTGGTGTTACCTCACATCCTGAAAAATAGATCCATTTCGCGTTAATAAAAGTGAAAAAAAAAGTTAAAAATGAAGCCTAAGCTTAAGAACGTTCTTAAGAACGATTCCGAAACATTTGGCAGTCCTCAAAATCCGCTAATATGTACAAAGTCCTAGAATGATTTCCCGCGTTACTGTGAAAACATTTAAGCATGGATATCTATAAAGTTCTATGAAGTTATAGGCATCTATGAAGTTCCGTCAAAACCTAGAGTGAAAATGCACAATACGCTGATCCGTAGAACAATATCATGAAAATTAAAGTTTACAAAAAATCAGATCTCGAAAGTTAGAAAAGAAAGCAAACCTTTGAGACTGAAATGCCCCACTGGTGGACCGTTCATGTCGTTTGAATTTTGATGCCAACTGAGATGTAAATCTCGAAATGAGAAATACGCTCGTTTAAAGCCTTTGAATGCTATTTTTTTCGGCCTGAATCATATGTCAGGTAATAATTCAAGCATGGAATTACAGCATAAAATAAAGTATCTAATCCAACGGACCAGATGCAGTAATGAACAAAATAGTTACCCGATAAAACATAGATTCCTTTATTATCAACGAAGCCGGTCCATCAATATTTCATTTGATTTCTTGATAACTAATACCTTTACATGTTTTAATTATTAAGATAGTTAATAGTGGCAGTTTTGCACAATTCGATTTGTTAATTAAATGTTAATCATTACTTCATATATTTGAGATAATCGGCAAGTTCAGGGACTTGCGTAAGATCTGCCTTACGATTGAAAGCTGCAGCATCCAGATTTTGCTCCTGAACAAAATCAATTCTTGAGGTGAAGCGAACGCTTGAAAGCTTTAGTTTAGTTTAACAAATAAAAAATCTAAAATGTGCAAAAAACTTGTAAAATGCTGGGTTCTCATTATATTAAATTCGACTATAATAATACGTAAAATAGAAGTGGTAACTTGCAAGTTCATCAAGTAATAAATCCACATCATCTTTCTCTGGAGCTTCTGGTTCTGGCAGATCACGCTGCAGGGTAGCTTGCAACTGAAACAGATTTTACTTGCAGAAGCGAAATCTTGTTTGGAAACTTGAAACCTTTCCCAATTTTAATAAAGTATTTTAGAAACAAACTTGCAATGCAGCAAAAAGCATTGCTTCTTCTTCGGTATGATCATATTCTTCCAATAAAATCGACCATTTGGCTTGTTCGTACAACTGATTAATACGCACTGGATCGTACTACAAAGACATAATAATATGTTATCTTAAGAGCCTTTATATCACGAGTTCGCTTTACTCTTTTTTTAAAAGTTGACAACTATAATTCGAGGAAAATTAAACATGTACCTTAGGATTTATGTCAAAAAACGACATGTATTTGAATCTCAGAAGGACCATGTCACCTTCGGATATGCCTTGTTCCATAAGAGACCTATAAAAACTCGTTGTAAAATAAAAAGTTCTGTTTAGTATACAAACACTGCACAAATTCATTAACTTTCCACAGCAAATGAATACTATATATAATGTCATTCTTGGAGATCAGCATAAACCATAGTAGACAATTTTGTTATTTCCTATTTTTATTTTTTAAAGAGTGTTTATGACAAGATCAGAAACTCTGAAAAGTAAAGTGCTTAAAATGCAATATTTATAACCCGTTTATAACTTTCAATCAAAACATCACACCTATTCTTATGCCATCCTTACTGAAGAAAAATCCTTACTCATCAACATCTCTAATACCTACAAAGACTATGATGACTCAACAGTTGAAACTCCAGAATGATAGTTAAATAACTTCACGAATAAGAAATTCAGCTAAATGTTCACCTTGATGAATCAAGCCAACCACGATTGAGCGCTGCTTTTTCTACATAATTTTGTGGCCTAAAGATACTCATTTCTTTACTTGGAATAATTCGCGGTGAGTGCACAAGCGCCATATCATACTGTTCATTTTCGAGCCCTTCACAGAATGAGACGGAAGGCATAATAGGGTTACGGCCAATTGAACCACCATACTGAAAATTCGACTTTTGAAAACCATCAAGTTGAATTCACCAACATTTAACTTCCACAATACTCACTTACTTCTAAATCACGGATATATATCAAATCTTAAGTAATCATTGAAAATACAAGAATCAATAACATATAAAAAATAACCGAAGGAAATAAACTTACTGCACCAGGACCAGGACTGACCCCTCGTGGAACTGTTCCTGCACGAGGAAGTGAACCAAGCTCACTAGCATTAAATATCTGGCCACTAGTTGACAATCCCGGACTGGTACCTCGACGAAGTGGTCGAGATAAATTTGAAGTAGATGCACTGATCGGTTTCTGTCGGCGAAGGGTGCCAGGACCAATAGATTCCTGAAAACATGAATAGAAGGAAAAACTCCTACATTTAAAATTTCAAGGATTGCCTGAAATGATTTCAGAATTCAAATCAAAAATGAAATTTTAAAGAAATTCAATTTATTGTGGTTTCCAGATAATGAATGTAAAATTAATTTTTGCCAATTGAGTTAGCAAAACATAATATCTGGCCTACCTCCAAGTGTGCCAGCTGCTGCGGACCAACTTGATCCAGCTCAAATCCAAGACCTTTCCTAAGAAGTTCTGGTGGTATAAATCGTACTAACGATAATTCTTCAGAGTATCTTATGCCTAAAATTTAAATCTTATTTTAGTAAATTCTTTCCAGCTTGAACGGGGGACTTCAGTTATCCTTAATCAGAAAGCAATAAATATAAAAGCACTATAAAAGTCCAAATACAAAAAGAAAAAAGAAGAAAACAAGTTTTCGGAGAGTTAGGAATATTATAGATGAGAAATAGCTTACCGATTTCTCGACAAAGTTGCTGCGTGGCACGAACAATATTCACAGAAAAATCCAAGCGTGCATCAATCATTTGTAAATCTGGTAACTGCACTCTGGAAATATTTTTACATAAGCTAATGATTTGAAAATTGAGTTTCGAGTCCCAAATAAACCAATTTTATCTAATAATGTAGACCAGTTTCAGTTCAGCACAACCGTAAATACATATAAATAAAACTACATCCTTGCTAAAAATCATACATTTCTTTACACTGTAAATAATATACAACAAGTTAGGTGTGTAAAATTCCACTTCCCTAACTTGATTTATCTGCAGCATTAAGATTTCCTAGTTCAGTACATTAAGATTTTCTAGTTAAATAATCCATAGAAACAAACATTGCCAGTTTGTGCTGAGGAGTGAACTCTAAGTTGCAATTTGCAGTAATACCAATCTGATCTAGAGTACTACGAGTATGCGTAAGCCAGCGTCTTTTTTCGGGCCACCAAAGTGCATGATCACTCCAATCTTTGCTCACATCTGTAAATCTTTTTAATTCGAAATGGAAAAAATATTATTTCACTGTAACATTTCGAGAAAAATTTTATTATCTATAAAAACCAGTAAGCCATTATCTTCACTGAAGACGTCGGTTATTGATCGATAGCAATGTAGTCAGAGATGTGGAATTTCATTGAGATTTCAGTACGATGGAGTGCAGTTTATGCAATTTTTGAGCAAATAAGGTGTTTCGTAAAATACTTAGAGAAAGTGGAAAACATTTCACTTATGCAAAATCCATATCACTGCCGATAAATAGTCGAGGAAAAATACAAGTAAGACTGAAATTCTAAGTTAAAATATAGAAAATGATGATATATTTTTCAATGGCCCTCGTAATGACGGTGTATTTTTTAAAAGATAACTCGCCGAAAAGCAGAGTATATTAATATGATGAAGGACGAACCAACTTCATCGACCAGCCTAAGCATTAAGCCACCAATGTGCAACGATCCGGTTACATATAAATTTCGTTGAATGTTCAAGTCGGTAACTAAGATCGAAATTTGCCAACTGCCATCGTTAGCGATATCATTCTCCACCAAATGTGTCATTGCTTTCCTTAATTATAATGCTCATCAACCTCATGAAAACATAAATCACACAGTTCACGCGATACATGCTAACTCGTGTTTGAAAACTAAGTATAATATTTGACAAATCGTTGGAAAGAAAAGCGTAGATAAGTGAATTTAAGTAACATCGTTTTTCACAATCCACATACAATCTTAGTATATGTCATTCTCAACAGAGAGGAAGCGACAGATGGCCATAACATCGACCCTAGCCGTGTGACCGCATGGATGTCTTCCTTCGTCCATCTAAACTTCACAATTGCATTGCTACAGTTTGTTTGCTCTCCAGAGTCAACTATACATTGGTGAATGCAGCGTGTTTACAACATCAATCAGCGTACACACAGATATACACAAGCACGCATACCTATAGGCGAATCATAGATTCGATCAAGTAAATGCGCAGAGAGGCTAGAACAGAGCTAACAGACAAGAGAAGCTGTTCAATATCTAAGCTAGGATGAATATTAACAGAATAACAAACTTCCAATCCACCCACCAGCAGTAATTGCAGAAAGCTTTAGTGAGAGAGATCAGTGGGAGTTACTACCTCTAGCTGCTTTTGATGTTCACACTTTTCCAATGTCCAGTAAAACCGGTATACCAACTTGACGTCCAGAGTGGATGAACTTCTGGTGAAAACGTGTTGCCAATTACGATGCAATAACCTATCGATATGAAAGGCACCATAACAAAGTCTTGTGTTGTTTTGATATGGCGAAAAGTGTTTAGAAGTAATTCGGATGATAAAAAAAAATATATATATATCATCCGAATTGTATTTATCATAAGAAAATATTTACCATAAGAAAAATATTTACCATAAGAAAGATATTTACCATATTTGCCATATTTACCATAAGAAAAATATTTACCCTATTTGCCATATTTACCATAAGAAAAATATTTACCATGTTTGCCATATTTACCATAAGAAAATATTTAGTATTTACCATAAGAAAATACTCTATCTCCGAGGATCAGATACAAGTTTGGGAAGAAACTATTCATCGCAGGTTATTAGGGTTCAGTCTCAATAATCTCATATGTCTGATGCTTTAGTAGAAATCAGGAAATGACTCGAGCTCAACCTCCAACTTTTGCAAAGAAACTACTATATCTCATTTTTTTATTTCTCAAATAACAAGCAGAAAT